TTGTCATTTTTTGGAGGGAAAGAGAACTCCAAGCTCTATATCCAAGGTTTGACACTTTTCCCACTTATTACCACTTCCACAATGAACACACATAGAGAAGAGCAAAGAAACTCATTTATTCAAATTATAGCAAAATGGAAATCAGAGAAAGTATACATTGGAGAATACATACCAGACAATACAGAATGAAAGAGCTAGACCATTGGGAGTGAGGTAACTCAGCTCAACCAAAAGAGAGGGTCCTGGATCTCACCCAAGCAGAAACTCCCTAAAGTCTCTAGAGTAGCAAGCTGGCTTTTGGGACATGGTGGAGACTACCCACTCCTCTTATATCATCCGAATCTTTTCCTTCATCAACAGGAAGTGCGGTTGGCCTCTTCCATCTTCTGTCTTGAAGCTGGAAGTTTACTGGAGGCTACCCTCCACCAAGATTATTAACTTGGAACGTCTCCAAAGTGGGAAACTGGCTGAGAACTGAAGCCCTTCATGCAGGACAGGGCCTTCATCTGCACCAATAAGGAGAGAGTCCCATTTCACTAAGTTCTGGGACAGGGGTTACATTCAAATGCACCAAGCTAAGGTAAGGAGGCAGATAGGTGGAGGAGGCAGCTAGGTTTCTCAGTGGTTAGAGCACTGGGCCTGGAATCAGGAAGACCTGAGTTCACATCCAGATTTCGACACTTACTAGCAACATGACCCTGAGCAAGTCACTTAACTTGTTTGCCTTAATCCACCAGAAAAGGAAATGGCTGAACACTAATATCTTTGCAGCATTCTGGTCTGTGGGGTCAGAAAGAGTCAGACACAACTGAATAACAAGATGAGCAGATGTCACACACCCTTGAAAGCACCAATCATGAGTAAGCTAAATAAAGTTGCACACTGGAGACAGTAAAACAAACAAATAAATAAATAATATATTCCTTCAGTCCTCAGAGGCTGCACCTATGAATTCATCAGTCACTCTAGTTTTTTCTACCTCTGAGTTCCCTACCCTGATCCCTACTTCCCACTCTGCAAGAGTCTTGGTCTAACGAGAGTACATCAATGAGTAAAAAAAGAGATTCAAAAATCCTACTTTTTGTCTTTTAATTCAGATCCAAATAAAGTTTATCTATAAAGTATTATCTCAGCATAACACTTTTGCCTAACAAATGATTTTTTTCAAGTTGCCAGGAATTCTAATTTAATAAAAAATCTGTCTTTAAGAGACATGGAATCTTTTTTCAAAAACGACTAATTTATCAGTAATGACTTATTCTTTTTTTCTTCTTCTTCTTTAACTTTAGTCATAGGACCAGAAGTAGAATAATTCTTTGTGGAAAAGGTAAGTAATGTAGTAAAGGAGAGCATGTGAAAGTGAAGGGTCTGTTAGTATGAAGAAAGAGACTTGGCATGAAGCTACTACATTCATGTGGTTCCCTCATTCTAAGGGTCGGTTCTCTAATTACTAAAGAATTGGCAAAGAAAATGTGTCTGCACATTTTTTGAATTGTTTATTAATGAAGATGCAGAGCACTAGGATAGGTGTCCTTTATTCAATTTTATCACTATTCTCGTCATTTCCTGATGATAAGTTTTAATAAACTGATAAAAGATAGTCTTTCTCTGACTCCCTTTCTTAAATGCTTTTAAGTAATTATTGATAGCATTTTACTAAGTGTTGCTCTGCTTTCTCCAAGAGCACTGTAAAATCTATTTTCACTTGATTTCCATTTATGGAAGGGCACCAACCAGTCAACAAGGTTAGAGGAAGTGAAGTCCCATGACACTTATTCAGGTTGGATGAAGGTTTTGCAAACAGAGAACTGACTTCTAACAAAAAAAAAAAAGGGGGGGGAGGGAAACAGTTCTCTGTGAATGATTTCGTCTAAAAAGCATATATTACTCATTGCAAATAAATTCAGTGTATAGAATGTCAGAGTCACATAAATGATGGAAGTTGGAAGTTCATTTTATGCTTTTGTTCAATACATAGTTTGCTCTCAAAAGTTATCTGCATGCTGTCTTCCCCTTTACAATGTGAGCTCCTTGTGATCAGGGACTGTCCTTTACCTTTCATTGTATCCCCAGACCTTAGCACAGTACATAGCACATAATAAGTGTTTATTGATTGACTGACATAAGGAAAGGATATTATTGTCTTGAAGAAGGGAAAATTGATGGGGAACTATAGTATATGTGGTGGGGTGGATGTGGAGGATGCAAAGGGATAGATTCCTATTTTATACTTGGTCATAAAGCTCCATTAGTTTCCAGAATACTAACACTCCTTGGAGTTGGGAAGACCTGGGTTCAAATCCTGCTTCCAACAGCCATGTAACCATAAATAACAGCTGTTCTGCATTTCCACAGGGGACCTCTAGGTACAGCAAGAGGGATTTTGATTATTTATTAATCGAAAAAATGTCCATTTGGGGTGATGAGGTATCCAGATATGTTATGAAAGTAGATTACAAAATCTCCTCTAGTTGTTCAGCTGTTTTATGGGCTAGCAGGAGATCCAGCTTCATGGGGAGGCAGAATGATTGACTATGGAGTACAACTTGAAGGGCTCTGGAAAGATGTTGCTATCTTTTTTTTAAGGCTACCACCCAGGGGCCTAAAATGTCACCATCAGAAATCTAGTACTTTGAGTGTTAATGAGTCACCAGTAGAAATGTGAATTCCCATCTTGGACAGATAAGCAGGATGCCTTCTATAAAAGTTGATGATGCCCTTTGAGTATGGGATTACAGATTTAGAACTAGAAATTTACAGGCCATCTAGTCTAATCTTGTCTTCTTACAAAGGAGCAAACTGAGAGTCAGAGAAGTTCAGACTTGCCCATAATCTAACAGCCAGTAAGTGTCAAAGATGGAATTTGAATCCAGGTCTTCCTGACTCCAAATTCAATACTTTTCATTATACAACACTCAAGGAATGGGGAAAGAGGTAGCTGAAAGATGACTTGGGAAGGAGCTGGGGACAAATGTTATCCACTTTATGATCTCACCATCACTCACAGTGGGATTTCTAATAAGAGCCATGGCTACCCAGCACATTGACCCCTTGTTTGGGGGTAGGAGAGGAGGGAGAGAGAGACAAGTAAATACAATGTGGGGGAATAAGGACAGTATAAATATCTAAGGCCAGATAATTATTCCATTGGTGCTGACTGATGAGAGGACCCAGAACTCTCAGAATGGCTCTGTTGAACATCTTCTTAATGTGTGCTACTGATAATTTGTCTTCTATCTAACACAGAAAGCTTCTGAGCAATTCTCATTTACGGTTTCAATATTAAGTACTGTATGTAAAATGTAAAAATGGTTAATACTATTACTAGATCGACTCCGTTAGAAGAAATATAGCTGGGCTTTTAGAGCTCACTAGGGTTCTCATAAGCTATAATAATAGCTTGTATTTATATAGTCCTCTATACTTATGTATTAAAACCCACAAGAAATAGGGAGTATAAGTGTATTATTAAGTATATTTACAGATGTGGAAAACAGGGTTCAGAGTGGCTAAGTGACTGGACCATATTATTTCCCCAATTAGAATATAAGCTCCTTGAGGGAGAAACTGTGTTTTTGCCCTTCTTTGTATCCCCAGAGCCTAGAACAGTGCCTGGCACATAATAAACACTTAATAAATGCTTGCTAATTGGCCAAAGAACAATTTAGTGTCAGAGTTGGGATTTAAATCTAGGCAGGCCTTCTGTCTCCATATCCCATGTTCTTTCCAGGTTTCTTTTGGAAAGCAATACTGTTGTTTTCTCAAACCATGAAAACTAACACCATGGTATAATTTTTATGTGGCTCAGCGTCTTTCATAAAACCTGTATGGAAGGCAGCTTATGAAATTAAAGTATTAGAGGCCATTCGGTCAAGCTCTCCAGGGGGTAAGGGCCTTGTGTTTATGCTTAGATTATAGTAGTGGCATTTACTAGTGTTGAAGAATCCGAGGTTGAAAAGGCCACTCACTGAATGTGACAAAGAGTCCCAGCACATATTTTTTTTTTCCAGATCTGGATTTTGATTTAAAAATTAATACAGGATATGTTAATATGTTATGTTAATAGGCTCTCATCTTTTTCTTTTAAGGTCACAGGAAAAAAACCCCACCTTTTTGTGTTGTTTATATTTAAACATCTAAACAAAAAAAAAAGGTGTTTTTGTTCTCACCCCAACCCCACTTCTGCTCCTCAACAGGAACATTGGATCATTGTACTGGCCACTGTGGATGCCTGAGAAGTGAAAAGAAAACTGATTGGATTGTTTGTATTGTCCAAATGGAGAGCTTCCAGTAAGCAAAAGAAATACATTGAATACGTTGAAGAAAACAGATGAGATACTGAATTTAATTGAAAAGAAAAAGTAAAGACCACATCATCACGATTCCCTTCAAGACAAAATTCTCATTATTTTAGCTCTTGATACCCTTACTACTTTTGTCACACAAAGTCTGCAGTAGTCAGCAGCTAGACTCCAACAAGTGGGGAGGTGAAAGGATATGTGTACGGGCAGAAACGTGGGCCAGTCTCCCACACTAGCCGGTTCTCCCTCTTCCCCCCCCACGCCCACCTCTCCCCCCACTCCAGGACTGCAGCAGCACAGAGGCTGCAAAAGAATCGTACTTGTGACCAAAATGCAGAAGAGCCAAGCAGGTATTGGATGAGGCGGAGAAGAGCAGCAATAAGTGAAGTAAGTCACTTCCCTCAGCCACGTCCGGTATCACTACCTGAATCTTCACAGCTTCTTAAGTACCCAACAATTCCAGCTCTGTGTGTGTGTGTATGTGTGTGTGTGTGTGTGTGTGTGTGTGTGTGTGTGTGTGTGTGTGTGTGAGAGAGAGTCGGGGCTTACGTGAGCTCCCCAGTCCCCTTTCGCCCTAGAACAAGATGAGGAACAGGGTAACCCCCGGCCCTCACGCACCCTAGGACCTTATCAAGCTCCCTCCCATCCCTTCCCACATTACTCCACCCCCTTCAGCTCTCTAAGCAAAGAGGCAGACCGAGCTCTGGGCCGCTGAAGGAGGAAGGGGCTCCCCTTAGGGTAAGAGAGCGGCGAGAGGCGGGGCTCCAGGAGACGGGGGAGTCCCTCCCCGGGTTGTGCACCAGGGGGAGGGAAAGGAGGAGAGGTAGAGGAGTGGGAACTGGCCGAGGCAGCAGCAGCAGCCGCTGCAGCTGCAGACACTTCTCCAGCTGCGAATTGGGCAGCCCTGATCTCCCTTCTCATACCCCACTTTTCCTCACCACCGGCTGCACAAGCAAGCGAGGGCCCGATCTCCCGCCCGAGATAAAAAAAAAAAGAGAAGTTTCTGACTCTTGAAGGGCAGTTAGAGACTGGTGCAAACCAGGGTCCCTCGGCCCCCTCCCTAGCTGCTCTGCTCCCCGCCCCCACGTCCGTGGGCTCCTTGGCTGGCGAGCCCGAGCACCCAGGCGGAGGAGGAAGACTGGAGTGGGGACTCGCTTGCGGCCGGAGAGGAACAGCGATCGATGAAACCCTGCAAAGAAGAGGAGGCTGCGGCGGCGCAGGCTGCCGCTGGGGATGGCAGAGGGGCGGTGCAGACCCCTGGAAGGAGTGTGCAGAGGTGGCGGTGCAGCTGGCGCTCCGGGCGGGACAGGTCAGCAGCCTTCTTGTTACCCAGGCTCTCCCCGCTGCGGCGCCCTCCTCCGCGTGCGACCGCCCCGCTAGCTCCCTCACATCCGCGTTCACCCTCTTCCCCAGCCTCGGAGGTGACTAGGGCTCCCAGTTTCCCGTCTTCAACCTCAACCCCTCCCCTAGTCCCCCAGCTCGACTCACTGGGTTGACCGGCGCGATGCCCGTGCCGCGCCTCCCCTGGGCAGCAGGAGATGGAGCGAGCGAGGGAGGAGCTGGCCGGGGAGGTCAGGCACGCGGGACACCTGATTCCCAAACGCGGGAACATACTCTTTCCCCAAATCCTCTCTACAAGGAGCTGGAGGCAGACAGGTTCAAACCAGATCACCGGAGTTCCTTGTAGCCTTTCAAACAAACACACAAACAACTTAAACTCTTTGCATCTGTCGCCTAATGTGGTGGGTTGAAAAGCAGGAGATGTTGCGTGGTTTGAGAGGCTAACACTTAGCTTGTGGGAAGGTGTTTGGGGTAGGCTGGAGCCATATGGCCTTACCTCCTATCTCACGCTCTCGCTCCTCCCCCACCTCGCCCCCCCTCCCCACCTCGCGCCCCCCCTCCACCCTCCTCTTCTGAGTCCCAGTCTAGAGGTGACAGAATGCTTGTGTTCTTCTGGCCTGGTAATCTTTTGGATTGGTGGCGCTGTCAGATAAACTATCTCTGCGCCTAGTTTCTCAACACAGGGTGAGATATTGTCAAAGAAGCCCTTTGTTTTTTGTTCCCTGTAAGAACCTTTGCTTTCTCTTCATTTAGCAAGAAGGGGTGCATTTCTCTTTTGTCCCCTGCGTGTATGTCATCACCCACACTCTGGGTCCCCGTGGTGCTCTATGGAAGCACCAGATGAAGGTTAAAGTGACACAGGCCTTGACCTTTGACAGCTCTCTGGCTTTTTAAAAAGCAAAGTTCGACTTTATTAATCATGCTTTGTGGGGCAGCTAGGTGGCGAAGTGGTGTCAGGAGAACCTGAGCTCAAATTCGGCCTGAGACACTAGCTGTGTGACCCTGAGCAAGTCACTTAACCCCTCGATTGCCTCCAAAAGGAAAAAACAAAACAAAGACGTGCTTTTCGAGCTCAGGTTCCCAAGTCTAGGGCCCAAGAGAAAAGACCACTAAGCACAGATCAGAAGGTATATAAGTGAGCACTAACCCATGCACCAAGAACATTGATAACAAACATCACCCAAGCAGTTCCTACTTTGCAGTCATCAGCAATTTGCACTTAAGAAGGAATCATAGGATTTAGAACTGGAAGGGTGACTTTAAAGACCCTCTTGTTCAACACCTGCATTTGATACACGAAGAAGCTGAGAATCTGAGGTAAAGGGATTTGCCCAAGTCTCAAAGAGAATAAGTATCAGGTTTGGAACTTTTTTTTAAGTATTTAAGAGTCTAGAACTTAAAATTACCATAGACATTGGATGCAGTGTTAGGAATATAGTAGGTGCTCTTTAAACATTTATTTTAATTTTTTTTTGGTGAGGGCAATTGGAGTTAAGTGACTTGCCCAGGGTCACACAGCTAGTAAGTGTCAAGTGTTTGGTCTGAGGCCAAATTTGAACTCAGGTCCTCCTGACTCCAGGGCCGGTGCTCTATCCATTACGCCACCTAGCTGCCCCTCTTTAAACATTTATTGAATTAAACCTTGATACCAAACAGCAGGATTAATAAAAAACCAAATAGGTTAAATAAATGAAATGCCATTTTCTCTTTTAGGGAAAATTTTGCTTTGGTTTTGGGGGGGGATGGGAGAGAAGCTCTTTCCTGAGAAGTCCATCAAATTCACCTTAATTATATACTACTTGCTTAAGGCAGTTACTGGAGTTTTTTGTTATTTGAGAAATAATGGAAGGTAATAGAATTGAATAGAAGATTTCCTTTCAAAAGTGAGACTAGGCCAATTACAACTAAAAATCATTTTTTTCAAGTCCAATGACAGTTTTTGAAGGAAGTCTACAAGTTTTTGGAATGGGACATTGAAGTAATTCTGAAAAGAGGTGGAATGAAGGGGGGGAGTGGGTATACTATACTCTCCTTACTTGGTCATTACCATTAATTGAGTTAGCCACCTGTGTGACCTTGGGCACATGAGTCACTTAATCTCTCTGGGCCTCAATTTCTTCATGAGTTAAGCTGACTTCTAATGTCCATTTCAGATTTAACATTCTATGATCTTGAATATGACTCGATATGCTGTATAGATAGATGGATAGATGGTACGTCCCTGACATAGTGCTAATTTCTGGGGATACAATTGCAAGCAAGTCCATCCCTACCTTCAAGGAGTTTATAGCCTCTTGGGGGAAGACAGCACATAAAGGGAAGCTGAAAAGAGGGGGTGCAAGCAACACAACATGGAGACTGGCTGGAGGTAGCATAGAAGGTACTATGATTTTTGATGGAAAGTTATGCAGTTAAGGACAATATATTACATAGTGAATACCGTGGAAATACCATCCTTTTGGCTTGATCTCTATTATCTTCTCCTCTGTGGGAAAGGAAGGATTCCAAACCTGTACATGTTGATTGTTATAACTGAAGGGCAAACATTCCTACCTGTTTATCATCATATCTTTCTTAATTGCTGAAAGCTATAGGCCCTTCAAAACTTGGGGAGGATAGGGAAAGGAAAAAAAGGTTGGCAGACTTTCCTGGAAAACATAGCTTCCTCCAAGAATGCAACTCTTCTCCCTTTCTTATCTTATCCTTTCTCTCACCCTCATTTATGAAGTGTATATCACCATTATACGTTTAAAGACCCATATAAACCTTTTGTTTCTAAGATGCTTTTGGAAAAACCTTCCCCAAAGATTCAGAAGCTGTTTAGGCTCTGCTCGGTTAGCTTGGGAGGATGACAAAGAGAAGAAATTTCTAAATGGCTAAACAAGAAGGCAAATATATTTTTTGTAACATACAAGAAAAGCTGAAAAAAAGGGAAGGTGGAGCAAAGATTCTGCAATTAGGAGTCTAGTCATGGAATCCCTGGTTTCTGGGAGCTCTCGAGCATTATGCTGATGCATCCTGCCTGGCAGATAGGAAAGAGTATAACTGACCATTGCTGTGGAAAACTAAAGCCACACAAGATCAGTGTGACCCTTATGGAAGAAGTACAAACTGTCTTTCTAATTACCTTACAAGATAATCATAAGGCTAATTTTAAAACTTTTTAGTCTAGATACTTAGTCCAGTTAGGGTTTTTAAATAATGGGTTTTTAACAAATTGAGTCTTCTTCAGCCAAAGTAGTTTTCATGGCTACCACAGTTCCCATGAGGTACACAAAAAAACATAACCAGAGCACTTTTGGTTTTTGGAATATAGCTGAGAAACATCATGGTGTAGTAGGAAAAAGACCATACTAGGAGATAGGACACAGGTTCTACCAAAAGACTGAATAATTTGCTTTGGCCACTCTGGGTCCTGATTTCCTCAGCTGTAAAATGAGTGGATTGGACTGAATTATTTCCAAGGTACTTCATAGCACTAATGCTTCTATTGCTATACCAGTCCCACTCAACTTTCTCATTCATTATTGACTTTAGTGGTTCTCCCTGACCCCACCCCAACAAGCAAGTAATGAGTTAAATTCTTCTTGCCCCCTCTATTTCTATTTTCACTTAAGAATTTAATACATTCATTAAGTACTAGTAAATACAAGACACCACATAAGATGCTGAGGATACAGAGACAAAAAATGATTTAGCAATTCAAAGCTTTCTATAATACATCCAATCAATCAATGAATTTGTAATATACTGTGGTAGGTGCTGGGAACACAAACACACACACACACACACACACACACACACACACACACACACCACACACACAGTTCCTGTTCTGAAAGGGCTTACACACTATCATGGGAGTAAGTACATGTAAGTATATAAAGAATAAATACAAGGTAGTTTAGGGAAGGAGAGCACTAGGGAGCTGGGAGGGCAGTGGAGAAGACTTCAGGTAGAAGGTAAAGTGTTTAAGCTAAGTCTTGAAAGAAATTAAAGTTTGTGTTTTTTTCCCCCAAGCACGGGAAATAGTTGGTGCAAAGGGACAGAGAAAGGAAATAGAGTATTATGTGGGAGGGCTAACTAGGCCAGTAGATTGTGAGGAGAGTAATGTAATGAGGCTGGAAAGGTAGGAGTCAAGTTGTGAAGGGTTTTGAAAGCTAAACAGGAATTTATATTCGATCCTAAAGGTAAGAGGGAGCCATTAGAGTACATTGAGTGGGGGAGTGAAATGATGAGATAAATGCTTAAGGTAAATCCCATGTTTTAGGTGTAATGAGTTAGAAGTGCCAGTAGTATAGCCACATGGAAATGGCAGTCAAGCTCAGCACAGACACTAGGACGAGAGATACAGATTTGGAAGTTATCTGCATAGAGGTTGATTTTTGAAGTTATGAAAAGAAATGGGATTGCTGAGAAAGAGTGGAGGGAGAGGTAGAGAGGGAGGGAGAGGGGGAGAGAAGGAAGGGAAAGGAGGGGAGAGAGAGAGGAAGAGAAGAGGAGTAGAGAAAAGAAAAGATGATAAAAGATGAAATCCTGAGAAACATTAATATTAAGTGGTCAGGATAGGAACAAAGATTCAAAGAATATTAAAAAGGGGGCAACTAGAGAGATAGGAGGAAAACCAGAAGAATGTGATGTTTTTGAAGATGAATGAGGAGAAAGTACCCTATACTTGGAGGTGACCCACATTGTCAAAGACTACAGAGTGGTCAAGGAGAATAAGAAGATGATTAGAAGATTTTTTGTGACTTCAGGTAAGTTTATTAGAATGATGAATTCAGAAACCCAATTCAGTATTAATGGATGTATAGTAGGGAGTGAGGAAGTAGAAACATTCAATATGAATAACTTTTCTAAGTTTAGCAGTTAAGAGGAGAGATGGAATGGTAGTTGAATGAGCTACAGGGTAAAAGGAAGCTTGTTAGGAAAAAAAAAAGCATTGGGGAGACCTGAGCATGTTTGTAA